CCTCGATGCTGTGGACTTGAGTACTCAAGCACGGCTGAGAACGTCGCAACCTTTGGAAGCAGTTTCGGTGATGACATGCACGACTCCGTAATAACACACAGGAGCGGTCCTATTCAGAACTCTCAACGATACCTTACGGCTAGAAGTTGAACTGCGCGCTGCTTGTCTATGCCCGGATGCATTGAAGCATTCTACCGCTGCCCAGGCAGACCAAAGACGTCTTGCTGAAGACATTATCGCTACTCTGTTCAAGGGTAGATGTGGTCAAAGAATAACCATGTCTTTCAGTTAACAAAAAAACAGACGAAGTGGGTCTAGGGCGATTCGGCAAAAAGAGAGATTTTTGGCAAAAACATACAACAGCGCGTATTCCCTGGTGGTCACCCACCCAGGTACTAATGCGCCGGTATCTTGCTTAAGTACCGCTGAGCGAACGGGAAGCGCTGATTTCAAGATCCTGTGGTCGTATGTGGAAGAATGAAAAAGTAAATGGATTATGAAGTCGATGTAGACGAGGCTTGAGTGTGGGCTTGGCAAGACCCCCACCATATCCCCAGCCTTGTACAGGCCGTTTCCTTAGTGTTACGACATAACAAACTCTGTCAATACTGCGATGTAGTATTGGTAAATCGCAGAGATTTGTCAAGCTCGGAATTGCGCCCTTCCCGTGCCTTGATAACTTTATCTTCATCACACCCCGACCTTCACCGCCACCAACTGATTTGACCTCTCCCCCCGCCCTCAAACACGAACCAACAGTTGCATAACCCTCAGAACTCGGAATCACATCCGAGACCATAAGTTTGTGGGGTACAAGGATGAAAGGAACTACGCGAAACACATCTGACACGCGGCGACTTTATGCCAACAGGGCAGTATTTGCGAACCCCAAAATGCGAGCCAACCAAGCTAGCTATTGAGACGATGATCGTGTGGCTTGGAAGCCTGAGAAGTAAGGGTCGTGTGATTGGGGACGAGGCTTGTTTATGCGATGGCGATGACGGGATATGGCGGCTAGATTGCTGATAAACAGTCGGTGCAGTAGTATAGGAAGGAGAGGTGTGAACGCTGCGTCTGAGGGTAGTTCCTTTCTTCTAATCTGTCGCGGAGTTGTTATTCCGTTATTTCATTCTTGCGATATGGAGCTGCGATCTAGACAGCTGATGCCCGGTCCTGAGCGCAACGACACCCAGGCGCCTCTTCTTCTCGGTGTATGTGGGAGTCTCACGCTCTTCGCTGTCCTGCTACTCTCTGCACGACTTTGGTCGAGAGTGCGTCCTTTCTGGAATCTGCACATGGATGACTGGACGGCGGTTGCGGCGACGGTACGGCGCAGTCTACTCCGAACGCACTCGAAGCTGATTATGAATGTCTACAGATCCTTGCGATAGCAAAATATGTCATCGTCTGCCTAGCATGTTCCTACGGCTTTGGCCAGCGGACAAAATATGTCTCGGCAGACTCGCGTCTTGCAGCCATGCGACTCGTCTTCTACTGCCAAGCTCTTTGGAATTTTTCCATCGGACTCGTCAAAATCTCAGTCGCCCTTCTCTTGCTCCGCATCAAGCAGACACGTCCCTGGCGCATCTTCCTGTCTTTTACGATCGTGCTACTCATCCTCACGACTATAACCTCGACGCTGTTCCAGTTTCTGCAATGCCGGCCATTCAGCATATACTGGGATCCCAGCATCTTTTTGACGCAGAAAGTGGAGTGCTTGCCACAAGAAGCCATCGTTGGGAACATCGTTGCGGCGAGCGCTGTGCATATCTCGACCGACCTCGTATTTTCGCTGATACCGATAACCTTTATTCGGAAACTACAGCGGCCGCGTGGCGAAAAGATCTTCCTTGGTGTTCTCATGGGCCTTGGACTGTTCGCTTCATCATTCGCCATCCTACGCACTGTCAAGGCCAGCATGATACCACCAGGTGGTGACACCTTTTTCATGACAGTCGCGCCTACACTGTGGTCGATGCTGGAACTCGAGCTTGCGTTGATCGCTGCCACGATACCAACGCTCAAGGGTAGTAAGTAATGCACATATGCGAACTGTGTACCAGAAAAATTCTGACACCTGAATTAGTTATGCAGCGGAGCCTCGTAAGGACCGGTCACTACTTCTACGATGAGAAGACAGAGACCCAAGTGCGAAACCGGCTTGTGGACCTAGGATTCCTAGGCCCGAACAACGACGAGTTTGTAGAGATGGGGCGGAAAAGGTCGAAACCGGATATGACTGATGAGGTTGTGACGTTCGGGAGTGGTTCGAAGCAGCGGAAAGCGAAAGACGAATATAGGCTCTCGGTCAATGAGCTTACTCTGGTGGAGAGTGAGGGCCACGCGACAACCCGGGACTTGCGGGCGTTCGGGCCCTGAAGACGCGCTGAAGATTAGGAACTTACCCATTCAAACATCGAGGCACATCATCGCAAGCCAGATGTTCCACAGCGCCGTTGCTGATCCAACCGCTATGAAGGCGTTGCCAGGTGGTCGAATAACAACACCGTCCTCACCCACGCTCAGCTATGTCTTGCAGGATATTGGCGAGCGCACGGCACCAAATCACGGAATGCCTTCTCAAGCACATCCTGCCCAACGCGGGAGCCGAGTCTGAGATCGATCGAGCCGGATGAGGGACCCTTGGTAGGGTAGCGTGAAGTATGGAGCCGCGCGGCCAGAGAAGGAAAGTGTGTATGACATGAAGTTGTGTATGAAAGCGCGAGAGGTGATGTGCAAGTTTGAGGATCTGCTAGAAAGCTGTAATATTATTATACCTAAATCGGTCGCGCACGCACAGAAAGCAAGGGTATCTCTTACTCGGACACAAGACATCGTCACCCAACTCATTCCTTCTTCAGGACATCTACGATCCACTGGCAGGCATCCTTTGCCTCTACCAGTCCATACGGCATGGTCAGAACGAAGCAGTGCATTTGCTTCTCCCAGTGCACCCACTCGCCAATGACACCGTGTTCCTCGCACTTCTTGCGAAAGATGACGCCGTCCGGGCTTAGCACATCGCATCCAGCAGTTATTCCATGCACCTTGATGCCCTTCTTCGCGAGTAGTGAAATGTCGGCATTGATAGGGGATATGCGGCGATCGGCGGCGTCCCAGTCTCCTTGCCATGCTTTCGCTGTCGCTCTGATGATCTTGGGTGTGAGGAGAGGGTCTCGAGGTGCCACTTTATCGATATCGGAGTTTTCGCGAGTTAAATCGGTCGATGGGCATACGTTCATGATGGCGACGGGGTGTGGGAGATGCTTGATCTCGACCCCTTCGTTCTCGCTATCCTCCCGTAGTGCCTCCAGCACAAGACACAGAGCAATGTTCGCTCCCGACGAATCACCCGCCAGTATCACTTTCTCTCCAGCCTCTTCCGCTTCGGCCATCAAAGCTCGGTATGTCTTTTGGCAAACAGGGAAAGATTTGTGCGCGGGGTCGTTGGGGGCAAGAGGTGTCGATACAATCGATATGGAAGTATCAGACATCTCTTTAGCTAACTTGGCGCAGATCTTGTAGTGTTGTGGAGAGGGCGGTTCCTGCCAACTGCCACCGGCAAAGTAGTATATCCGCTTCTTCGAGCTCTTCTCTGCTTTGTTGGGTGGTATGACATCGTATATGTGTATGTCGCATACGGTTCGTTCGCTGAGGGTACACTGGGAGAGGTTCGATTTGCTGGGCTTGAGTCGGATTGAGCCATCCTCGTGGTCTGCTTGACGGTTGCTGATGCGCGTTCGCATTAGTCGTACCAGAGACTGGACCACAGCCATGAGGAAGGTGCGATCATTGCGATGGGTGAGCTGTATCGAAGAGCCAGTCTTGGCAGTCGGGCTGGGAGTGCTGGCATCTGTCATGGTGGTCATGTTGAAGGCCGTTGCTGTAAACACTAAGACGGAGGGAGCTCCGTGGTAAGGAGCGGAGGGATGCTGGACGCGTGGGAACAAGGACGCTTGGGTGGATGCATCTCGTGGCGCAAAGAAAGACGAGCACGCATCGTCGATTACGGGGCCTTAGCAAGCCCACGCGCGCAGGGCGACTCGTTCTCTAGTAAAAAGACGGCACATCAGGGCTTCAATGACGTCGGGACCCAGCGTTTAGGCCAGATAGAGAAGACCCTGACTAAAAGCGGGAAGATATGAACGCTTCCGAGAGTGGGTCGATCTGGAGGTGCTTGCAAAATGTCTCGGCCATCACACAACGGTGAAGGATAGCGGTACGCGTTGCGCAAAAAGCACAATGACGAAGCCATGGGTCGCGCGTGCCGACTGTTCCATGCCAAGCCTTGATTTCTTGGGCAACACCAGGACCGTGCCACTCAACCCTCAACGCGTCTTCAGTTTCTGGGTCTTGTCAGCCGTTATGCGCTCTTTATAAAGACGTCTTTGAATCTGGGACAACGAAGCATTCCATGAATGTCGCAATCGCAGCTAGGTCGTCAGATGAGGAATCGTTTCGACGGACTGCACATATCACGGAAGATGCCATGCGACCAATGCTATCATTCGCATAGCGCACGAAAAAGACATTTGGTTCTAGATCTTGTTTTTGACGTCGGATACGGCGATGCCAATGCAACTCGTGGCTGAAGACCTCCTCCACATGTACTTATCTGACGCGCAAGCTTGCATGATCAGAACCCAAAACACCTGGGCGGAAGTCTTGGTCGTACCGCTGAGTGGCTGTGCAGCAGGCGGAGAGTGCGATAGGAAGCAAGTTCCGCTCCGCCAGGGTTACAAGTTGCGTCCGCCGGCGCCAACTCCGTCTTGGGTCCTCTTGTCGCCTTGGTATCACATCCATGGATTCTTCTTATTGGCGACACTTCATCGCAAGGCCTTGGCCTACGTGCCTGGACCATCAACAAACAAATGAGCTGATCAGGGAACTGACCAAAGGAAGCCTTAAAGGCTATCGTTGCCGTTGAGCCACATGTGGCAGCTGATCCACCACCTACTCCCAAGCAGATCATACCCTATCCCAGCGCTCCTCGGACGTCGATGGCTCCGCAACAGTCCCTTACGGATGACGAAATCAAGAAGTTCATTGACGATCTCGATCACGATAAAGATGGCAACGTCGACTACTGGGAGCTGGAACGCAAGCTGGATCAAGTACACAAGGAGATAGCACCCAAAGCGCAACCACATAACCTCCACCATGGATCTCGGGGCGACGAGGCTCGACATGAGTTTCTCAGGAATGTCATTGGAACACGAGATGACCACATCAATCGAGAAATCTTCGCAAAGACTGTCAAGACATGGGAGATACCGTCTTTGGAACAAGACCGGAAAGAAGCAAAAGATGAGGACGATTACCTGAAGCAGGTGCCCCTCCACCGGCGTGCACGTGCTTACTGGGCAGTCAAAGGGCCTGAGATAATGTTCCTTGGCCTGGTACTTACCTTGATGATAGGGTTTGGTGTCTGGCAATTCGTCAAGTACCTTACCTTCGATCAGTATACGCCTGCGTTCGGATGGGGAGCTGTCTTATCCAAGACTTGTGCCGGTGTGCTGTACCCGACCTTCTTCTTCCTTATCCTATCGATGTCGCGATGGCTCTCGACGTTTCTTCGGCGCTTCTACTTCATCTCCAGGTTTATCAACTGGGACCTGTCGCAGAGTTTTCACATCAAGATGTCCATCGTCGCATTGGTATTCGCAACGTTGCATGCTATTGGCCATCTTAGCGGCTCCTTCGTCTTTGGAAGCAAACCCAATCGACAGGACGCAGTTGCCAATGTCATCGGACAGGACGCTGTACCACGTTCATACACTGACTACCTTCGATCATTGCCAGGATGGACTGGTCTCACATCTCTCGGCCTGTTCTACCTTCTCGCATTGATGAGCATGCCCCAGATACGAAAGTGGAGCTACGAGGTCTTCCAGTTAGCTCATCTACTAATATTTCCCATTATTGGTTTCATGATGGCGCACGGTACTGCTCATCTGCTGCAGTGGCCCATGTTTGGCTACTGGCTCGCTTTCCCTACTCTCATGGTTCTCTGCGAACGTGTGTGGCGCTTGATCCTAAGCTTCCGCCCTATTCTGGCGGATCTTGAGTTACTAGATGACGAGACTGTTGCCATTACTGCGCAAGTACCCAAGACTCGCCCGTGGGACTACAAAGCTGGCCAATACGTTTTTGTGCAAGTTCCGCAGCTATCCCGATTCCAGTGGCATCCGTTCACCGTGTCAACTTGCATCAACAACACCATGCAAGTTCACATCAAAGCAGACGGTGATTGGACAAACTCGCTCCGCGATCTGGCTAAAGAAGACGGACGAAAGACGATCAAGATCGGTCTTGATGGGCCATTCGGTGCACCAGCTCAGCGGTTCTATGACTTCGAGTACAGCATGGTCTTTGGGTAAGTCATCGCTTTTGTTTCTTCGGGAACTTTGCTAACATGCCATAGTGCCGGTATTGGCATAACGCCTTTCTCGGGTGTACTGACCGATCTCCAACATCACGAGCTCGAGCGCGTCAAGTCTGCGAACGACTCCCCGGCCTCACCCGACGAAACGCCCAAAGAGCCTTCGCCGTACACGAACCATCGTCGAGTCGACCTACATTGGATGGTCCGCGACAAGAACAACCTCCTCTGGTTTTCCGATCTTCTTAACGAAGTCTTCCGTCAGAAACCAAACAGCGAAGATCTCGATATCCGTATCAACACCTACGTAACGCAGAAGCGCAAGCAGATCTCCCAACACGTATTCCGATGGTTGCTCGAAAAGCATCGCACAGATGAGCACCCGCAGTCGCCCATCACTGGTCTCGTCAACCCTACACATTTCGGACGTCCCGACATTCGGGGTATTATGGAAGCACACTACGACGATATGAGCAAGGTGTTGGCAGATCGTTTGAACGAAAAAGATGGCAACAAAGATGATGAGATCAAGATTGGTGTTTTCTTCTGTGGCCCACCTGTTATCGGTCAACAGATTGCCGATCAGTGTAGCATGCTGAGTGCGAGGGCGAGGAACGAGGGTAGGAAGCTTGAGTATAGGTTCATGATTGAAGTGTTTGGTTAGCGATAGATGATGATACCTCAAGGCTGTTTGCAATAAATCTCCCATTCCCGATATGAACGCTGGAGCCCAAACTTCACCAGGTGGCTGTGCCCAAATACCGAGTGATTACAATCGCTGGAGCATACAATGACTGCGTCAGGTGTAATTCTTCGTGCTTGCCATGTGTGTACCTGCGCACGTGGCTAGCAAGGGATAGGGCACGTGCCCAGGCGCTAAACCGCGTCACCAAAGCCGACGTGTCGGAACCATCGTCATTCACCGTCCGGAACACTTTCACTCAACCAACAAAGGCACTACACTCTTGTTCCACCCCATAGTTGGAAGCACAGCGCGCCTTCCAACTCGCTTCCAAACAGATACCCCTACTTCGCGACCAAGACTCCGACCTTCCGCAACCCAAACCCACCCCGCGCACACGAGCGACCCCCTCACCTCCGCCCGTACACCCCCGCTTCCGATCAACACACAACATGGCGTCCTCAGCTTCAAAGCGCCTCTTCAAAGAATACCGCATGCTCTCGAATGACCCGCCAGAAGGCATCACCGCCGGCCCGGTCAGCGAAGACGACATGTTCGTGTGGGAAGCGCTGATCCAAGGACCCGAAGGCACACCCTTTGAAGGCGGCGTCTTCCCCGCTGAACTACGGTTCCCGAAAGACTACCCGCTTGCGCCGCCGAAGATGAAGTTTATGACGGAGATGTGGCATCCAAATGGTATGTTTGAGGATGTGGACATATTTGCGATCTTGCACTAGACACTTTCATTCATGTGTGCGAGATGCGAGATGCGAGAAGCATGGGTTTTGAAGCACTGAAGCTAACACCACCAACAGTATACCCCAACGGCGAAGTCTGCATATCCATCCTGCACGCCCCCGGCGAAGACCCCATGCACTACGAACAAGCCTCGGAACGATGGTCACCCATACAAAGCGTGGAGAAGATTCTGATAAGCGTCATGAGCATGTTGGCGGAGCCGAACGACGAGAGTCCAGCAAATGTAGATGCGGCGCGTATGTGGCGGGAGAAGCGCGACGAGTATGAGAAGATTGTACGGACGAATGTGCGAAAGAGTCTGGGGCTGTGATGGATTTGAGAGAAGGTTGGAAATCACGAATAATGGATGCATAGCGTAACAGGAGTATTTGCGGTGCTGGGTATCTGTAGCTCATGTTCATATAAAGACATTATGGATCTTTCAGGAAGAATGGCACTACAAGCGATAAGGTTCATGCGATGCTACAAGGTTGAATTTGTATCGCTAGCGAAATTCAGGCCACGCTAATCTTGCCATATGGATACCAAAAGCACACAGTCAATCCAATTTACCGCTCCGTCCGTCCAGCCATCCTACTATTACCTTCAGACAATCTCCAAACCAGAAGCCTCCCCATACCCATTATACGCCACGCCGCGAAAGTTCCACTTCGGACACTTCTCCTGTACATTACCGCTCTTGTCCGTCGCCCGACTGTATATCGCAACATTCTTGCCCTTCTCAGCCTTGACTCTTGCCTTCCATAATGCCCACGCCCATTTGAGTTCAACATCTTTGGCATCCTCGCCCTCATAGGCTTCAATCAACTCAGCTTCTGTCCATGAGGCCCCTCCATCAGTGCTGACTTCGACTTTGACAATGGGCCCATCTGCACCACTAGGCAAAGCATAGCCCTTGACTTCAATCGTCCCATCTGCCTCTCGCTGCACAGTACTACCCGACTTGGGAATTCCAATGACGCTGTTGACCGGCATGTCTTGTAGAGCATCGACCTTGCCCCAGTACTCCTCCGCCTTTTCTTTCGAATCGGCCTCTGGAGGTAGGACTTTGTAGTCGTGCTGCTGGTAGTGACTTTGACTCTCGGTCAGTTGGACGGAAATGGAGTCAAGCCACTTGACGCTTCTCGCTCCAGCAATACCAGGAGTAACAATGCGGACGGGAGCACCGTGGTTTGGTGGAAGAGGCTTGTCGTTCATTTGAAGGGCGAGTAAAATCGAACTCTCCCGATCCATGGCTCGTGATAGTGGGATACTGGCACCGTAGAACTCGTCTTCTTGGGTAGGCGTCTGGTAGCACGAGAACGCAACATGCGCTTCGCTGAGCTTGTTTTCATCGACCTTGACACCAGCCTTCTCCAGAACATCTTTGAGAAGCGGTCCAGTCCATTTGCAGTTCATGACTGCGCCGTCGAACCAGTCAATTCCAGACACCTCCTTCAACTTTGTACGCATGGTGTGACGACGGTTTCCAGCACATTGTAGTGCGCATATTACGGTGTGTTGAGGAAGTGCTTCGAGGTCTGCGATGGAAAGCGAGAGTTCATTGTTGATGAGTCCTGTGACGGAGACTTTGTGTGTGCTCGCATCGATGTGGGGAATGGGGCCGTGATTGCGGTCGTAGCCGTCTTGGGTGATGAAGCTGTAGACTCTATCAGTATCTTGACTGCGTAGATCTTGAAATTGGACTGTGGGTATCCCGGATCCAAGGGTTACGATCGACTGAGCCCGCTTTCAGGACGCCGTGCGTGAACGGCTGGTCCCCTACTAGCGCCTCTCATCGTCTCTTCTCAGCACAGTCTCCTTCACCCTCACACGCAATAGACACTAGACATACCTTTCAACCAGCTTCTCAAGCTCCGGCTCGCGATTAAGCGGCTCCTCAACCGAGTACTCAAGCTTCTACCGCACCGTCAGCCCTGTCATACCAACACGAATAAACATATCAACATAGTCTACCGCATTAGGAAACCCATATAAAAACCTGGGGGCGTACCTGGATCATGGTTGTCGATGCTGATTTGGCGGATATGGCGTGATTGAGGCTAAGGGAAGAAAAGGTGGCGGGGCACGCAGGCTATAAGGCACAAAAGCGGGGGCGGGGTAAGAGCGAGGTAGGAGCGACGAGGATGTTTGCTGATGCCACACGTTGCATGTGACTTGGGCAGGCGCGTCGGTGATGGGCGGATAGGTGCGGCTCTGCGCTATCTTCTATGGGGAAGTCAGATAGCTGGGGCAATGAGGATGGAGTGAATGGGCACGCTGTTTGCCGTCCTGCATGACGTTTGTTCAACAATATATTACGACATCTCTGTCTTCGATGACCTCGATCTACTGGCAGCATACGATGTCCATCGGAGAGGGATGCATTCTGGGTAGTCTTCGAGTTGATATACATTTACAGTTCTAGACTGGCAAAGATGCGGCCCTTATTCGTCCAGTGCTATGATACATGCTATACCTTACACAGCAGCTTCTCAACTACAGCGCTGGCTCTGACGCCCAGTCCTCTTATGCGTAACTTTCTCCTTGGGTCTTCTCAACAGTATCCTTGATGTAGCGCACATATGCCGGCATCAGCGGCTTGCCCTCCTTGTTTTTGGACATGTCGTCCAGCGACCGTACACCCTCGATCAATACTAGCTTTGTTCTAGTCTCGAACGTCTGTGCCTCTTCTGACATGGGCATTTCAGCGCCGAGCACTTTGCGAGACGTCTTAAGAGCGTTCCATATGATAAGTACCTCAAGAAGTTCGTAGCAGTGGTCGGTGATGTGTTCCAAAAGTTTGGTGACGTTTACGAAATCAGTAGCTCTCTTGTCGGAGTTTCTAGATATAGCATCTAGTGATGTCTGGAACATTTTGTCAGTATTGGTCCGCATATGCAGGAAGATAATGGGGGAAGATGTACCGTGTATCCGCTCTGCTGTAACGCGTGGACCAGGCGGCTAGAAAGTGTCTTGACCTCCTCTTTGTCTCCACCGTATCTGTCGGCGAGTACAGCAGCCATTTCTGTCGGCAGCGCAACCACAGATGGCCTCCCTCTGTAGTCGCCTTCGGCAAACTTGTCTGGTTTTCCACGCGGTTTCACCGGTCTCTTGCCTACATAGTGTTCCTCATCCTCCATGAGCTCCACCACTTGCTTCGCCAGTTTGTGCGCCTTGATTGTATCGTCCTGTGCCCAATCGGCCAGAGCCGCTTTGTCGTGCACAGTCCTCAACACCGCACGCAAAACACCGTAATTGTTTAGCTTGACGCCGGTTTCCTTTGCTCTTTGCAACGCCTTCAGAACAAGATGCTGCATGCCTGCAAGGTTCAACTTCCTGATAACGAGCTCCTGCCACTGCCAGTGGACCTTGATCCCGGCCTCTTGGAATCCCTCCAAGCATCTGACGACATTCTCCCAGTCCTCCTTGGTTTCGCTTTGGTTACAAATCTCCCTGAGCCGCTTGTAACGATTCGGTAGCCTATTGCGGTCGAGGTGTTCAAGAGGCAGGGTGACCTCTCCCAAGGTAATCTCTATAGGCTCGGCTTCGAGTTTTGCGCGGCTTTCTTGCGAGTATACGAGCTTCTGTTGCTCTTTGGTCAAGTGTTCTGGGAGGAGGATTTGGGAGTTGAAGGTCGATAGGAGCTTGGATAGTTCGGGAGAAGACGGTGGGAGGAAATTGGGGAGAGCGCCTGGTGTTCGCATTAGTGACGTGCATATAGGAAGGCAATTCGGGAATGATACGGACCTCTTCTGCTCACCGCAGTGCGCGAGAATGCGCGTCTTGAGCCATTGGCGTAGAGGCAGATGTTGTCTGATCGCAGCAATGCCGATTGGCAGCCCCGCCGTATTGAATACATGGTATGGTGTGTGCTGAATGCCCTGGTCGCATGGCGTGGGCAAAGTCCAGAAATTTGGCGCAAACGCGTCAAACGCGCCAAGCCATGTCGGCGGCACTTTCGCTTTCTCCGACAGGGCAGCCACGACTCCAGCCTCAGGTGTGACACAGCCACATTGCGGTCCCTCTTTCCCGGCAAGCGAAATGTTAGCCCCTAGGAGGACCAACCGCTACAGCTGGCTCTTCCCTCGAGCCAAGAAGACCACCAGAATGGACAACGAGCAAGCCACCTTCTGGCTGAGCCAGTTCATCGGGAAGAACTTGCGCATACACGCCAGTGATGGGCGAGTATTCGGAGGCCAGATGAAATGCACAGACAAAGTGGGTGGTCATGACGTGTGGGG